CGATGTCCACCTGGAAGCCCTTCATGACATGATGCGGCGGTGGCACTTTTGAACCCACCCTCCAAGCCATGTGGCCAAAATTGCCTTTGCCGGGCTGGAGCGGCTTCGCGTGCCATTCCCAGTCCTTCAGGAGCTGGCAGACAGCTTGCCTTTGAGTGCCGTGTGGCAAAGGAAAGAGCTCAAAGATCAATTGGATGTCAAAGTCAACGAAGTCCACACCTGGTCGCAAGTGAGCCCATGCAGTTCTTTCGTCATCCTTGAGAACACGGATGCCATATTTGGTTCTCATCCTGACCAGGCAGACCGCTTTGGAATAGGTGCGACACTGATGCATAGCTTCATCATGTGTAGCTCCTGGCAGCCAAATGACCTTGTACTTGTCATCTTGCATGCGTGGCATGTCACCTCTTGGTTCGGCATATACCCCAACAGGTGTGCTCACCAAAATGCGCTGCAAAGCCCCTTCTGGAATTCGAAGGAACACCGTAAACAGTGCGGCCTCCTTGGGTGTGGTCTTGTGGCCCTTCTCATTCAGGAAGCTTCGAGCCCAAATCTCAAAGATGACATTGTCCAGTTGTTCGCCAACTGCAGGATGAAATTTGGCACAGTCGGTGCCACAGTTGGCTCCTTTGCATAACTGCAATGCCTCCACGCGTTGAACCAACGCTCGGATGGGTGCTGCAACAAATTCATGCCAGTCAGCTTGAAGTTGATCACGGAAGATCTGAAGCTTGAGCACCTGAGTGGCGACGACCTCCGGGGCCGAGCTCTGTCCAGTAAATGATCGTTGCACTTCAGAATCGCCCAGCTGCATGATGTAGCCAAAGATGAGGGTGTGCTCCTTGGTGCCCCTGCACATGGCCGGAATGACAATCTTTCGCAGGTTGGCTTTGTCAATGGTGTCAGTCTCCGGTGTGCCCACAAAAAGCAAAGCCAATGCCTCAACACTAATTGATTTGGGAGCCTCCAAAAAATGTTGGGCCATGGATGTGGTACATAAGGCCACCCTTCGCGTGTCCGCCTCGACCTCCACAAACTTGATCTGCTCGACAGGAAGCTCGTGCTCATCCATAAAGTGGGCACTATCGAGCTCAAATTGGTCAGGATCAAGATGGACTGGCCCAAAGGGTTTGGCAGACTTGGCTGACTTTTTGGAGCGATGGTTGTTGACCTGGGCTCCATGCTTGTTGTTGGCACGTTGAGCCACATAAGCAGTCTGCTCTTCAGCTGTCACCAAACGGAAAAGGTTGCCAGGTCTGCTGGCTGCAGCCTTGAGTGCCGCCCAAACGTTCTTGTTCTTCATGATGGTGCCAAGTTGCGTGAGTCCAAGCTTGTTTAACACCAGTTGGGCTCTGTCAGAGGCTGCAGATGCAGGAACTCCCTTTGTGGCTAGAAGTTCTGCCAGTTGTTGAAGAACCTCAGCTTGACCCCCGCCAAAAAAGGTGCCACCAATTTGTTGTAGTAGTAGATGTGTATGGAGTTGATCAATCTCCTCCATGTCATCCAACTTGGCAAGTTGCAGCACCAATGCCATGTGGACCAGGGCAAGTGTGCCACAGGTGTGAGGCTGGAGTTGTGGCAGACCTTTGCCAATCAGCAGACCATCAAATTCCAGTTGCAAAACAGCGCATAACCGGAGTGCCAGACAACAGACAGGCAGAACAAGATGACCCAATCGAAGTCCATCGTATAGGGTCCATAGAAGGCCGTTCTGCTCAACTGGGATGCCGGTCAAGAAAATCCAATGACCATCAATTTTAAGGATGAGAAGGATCCTCCCATCTGATTCCTGGTAGCGACTGCTCCATGAAGCACAGACACCAAAAGGCAGTGAAGAGTCAAGGAACTGCCGAATACGAAAGGGATAAAAAATGAAAGGCTTGTTGGCTTCATTCAACTCCGCATAGTTCTGTGTGAGGCCAGTCATATACAGTAAGTCCAAATGATCTGGTCCCCAAGGCAGTCCTGGTCACCACCAATCCCTCCTCCACTGATGACAAGTGACAGTCAGTGGGATTGATTTGTCTGCCCATTTCCACTGGTCAAATGTTTTGTGGTTGGTTGATTGGCCGCATTTTTTGTGACTTTTGTTTTATTTTTATTTTTATAATATATCCCAATTTGACCCCTGGTCACAAAATATTGCTGATCAATCTCGACATGTTTGTTGCTTTCTGAGACCAAATGTGTGCTGCTCAATCTCCAGTTTTTTGTGGCCGCCTGTTGAAACATTCTGTTCGGTGAAAATCCACCATTCTGATTGTGGTGTTTTTTTGTCCTGGGTTTCACACTCAGGCGGCAATAGAGCCTTGCTTGTCAGTGGTGGACGGCCATTGGATGGTGTGGAATCATGGGGTATCTGATTGTTTCAGCATGGGGTAGCACAGCTATGCGCAGCTATGCACTGTGTACAATGACAATAATAATATGAAATGTACAGGAGACACACACACACACGGATATACCATTTTGGGCCACAAATTGTTGATGTGGAGATAGATCGACATGAATCTCCAAATCAATAGCCGTTGTTTGGCATGTTACAGCACCATGTAAAACAATGTAGTTTGCTTATGACGGCCTTTGTGACCTTTAGTTTTAAACCCTTCTCACCTGACCCAGAGTTTGGGAAACCAAGGAATTCAAATTTGTCAAGATGGAGGAGTGTAAGCCTCCTGTGTGGGAGGAATGCCCGGGACCCCAGTATACGCGAGTGGGTAGACTCAGTAGATGATTGTTGGGGATTTTAGATGATCATTGGGTATGTGGCACGGGAAAATTTCACGGATAATACATATTCTATAGTACCCATAGGATCCATGTATGCTATATATGGTAACATTTACCATCAATATACCCCCAATGTTAGCATATATACCATACATGGATCCTATGGGTTATAATATACATTATATAAATATATTATATCTTGTGTTCTTGCAATTGAGACTGGGTTTTTAAAACGTGTTTCATCTTGTTCCTTCCAAATTCCATTTCAAAGACATGAATCACCTCAGCAACCGACCAGGGACGGGTACCGACCATTTCTGCACGGAAACTGGACAAACCTAGAGACCACCATCTTTGTTGATGACATCTCCTCTCCATCATTTGTTGCTATGTTTTTTCTGCATTGTTTACTACTGTCAAGACAATGAACCAACCATTTGTTTTTATTATACTATAGTAGTTGTATCATGTTGTATCATTCTCCGCGAATTATATATGATGTTTGGCAGTCAAGTCAGATTCCGTTTTGTTGATCCGGATATATGTTTTAATCCCTATTGTTTCGACCCCCAACTCACAGATAAATTCTGCCCAAATTTGCTCACCAACCGATTTCAAACCACTTGGGTTTTTCTCCGCATTGGATCGAATTGGATGGAGAATTGGTTTGATTTGGAGCCATCATCGGACATCATGACATGACAAACATGGGGTGGGCAACTCAAGCCACAACTCACCCCGGCGGCGGGTCCCGAAACTTGAGGTGACAACCGCAACCTCAAAGGTGGACTCGTGTCCGGAGAGCCCCTTGGTTGACCTGGGGTTTCTCAAAACAGGGGATATCCAAAATCACCTCCGATTGGTGTGCCTAAATAGAATGAGGGGGCAGAAGCCCCTTTTAAAATATAAAATAGTAAAATAAAATGGGTCAGACCCCAGCATTCAAAATCACCTTGGTTTCTCTATATCTCCCAATTTGTTGCGCGTTCAGTCGATTGGATCGATTGGATCGAGGACAAACAGTGGCATTCCACACTTTGGAGTGAACAACTTCTGTTACGTGCCGAGGCGCCAAACCCGTCTGGCTGGGGAGAATCCATCATTGGGTGAGTTTACCGTGACAGTCAGAATTTATCCGTATGCTTTGTACTTGGCTTGATGGGCTATGATATACGTATAATATCGTATAATTACAATTTATAACTGACAAAATTCCAGGAATTTGAATATATCATTGAATAACCAACAAAATGCCATTATGGGTGAAATAAAGAAACCATTCTTTTTGTTTTTTAAACTAGTTTTTTTTCTTAACCCAAAAAAAAGAAGGTTTTTGATTCTGTAGGTATATATATACACACATATTATACATATACATATTATACTATTTCAATATTCCACCATTTGCAGACCAGGCCTGAAAAGCTTCGTTGTTGATTTGTATATCAGTGTATATCCATGTAATTACATTTGATGTTTGTTTCATGATACATCCAATATACCATTTTTCCACCCAGCTCCGCCAGCCTTGCCAGCCTTGCCAGGGCTGTTTGCCCGCTGCCGGCATCGTGCCCTGGCGCCCATTGTGAGAACAGTGCCGGGGCCATCAACGACGATTCGTGTAGCCTGGCTCAGCAGTTGAAGTTCTCAAGTGACGTATCTGTGTCGAGTTTGGGAGGAGATGACCATGGACATACCAGCTATTTTGAGATGAAAACCAGGGAACCAGGGTTTTGATACATCGCCAAGTCAAGATACAATCCGTCTGCAAAGTGTTGGAAGTAACTCACCATCCGAATCGAGACTTTCTGCATGATTGTTTCACTGAAAACAGTTTTGTTTCTTTGGTAGCGGGTTTTGGAAGCCTCAGGTGGCTTGAGCAACTCTGAATCCACTGTCAACGACTGCTCCGATCAGGACGGATGCGGCTCAGTTGTCCCCAACCCAAAATCGCTGGGTTTTTTTCGGTTTGTAAAGACTTCAGGATGCTAATATCATCTATATAATATCCTAGAAACCGGAAAGACTCATCGCACAGTAGCAGCAAATGCAGCATAATGCGCTGCCATTTGTGCTAAAGCGGTAATGGCTCGCTGTTCCCAGTTCGTCCATGCATCCCTACTGCTGGTGGTAATACCCTGCCAATTAACCTTGACCTTCCCAATTTTGTGGATGTCCTTTCCGTGAACCTGGTGTTTCCGAGATTGCTCATTTGTATATGCAGAATGCTTTGGCTGCATATATTACATTTTCTTTGTGCTGGCCAGGTCATGCCCAACGAAATGGTTGTCGTGTCTTGCCGAAAAAGTGCGTTTGAAATTGATGTTCCTTTATGGATTTTATGGATGACAAAGTATACAGCAAGAGATGCATAAAAAAGGAATGACATGACGGTTTGGGGTCCGCTATCCAACATGTCATTTGGATCCGATGCGCCCCAACTTGCCGTGGATCCGAAAGTTCTCACAAAGTTTGATCCAAAAATTGAAATGGGAATTCAGGGACGCCCCACCACAGGATTTGTCCATACAATGAGGAACCCAAACTGAGCAATTTGGTTATCGATGCGTTTGCTGTTCCGCAATTCTGAGACCTCTAGAAAGGTCATGAAAGGGTCGCCAGACAAGCAAAGGGACGACCATGTAAATCCCTGGATATTTTTTTGAATATAAATAATGCATTGGGTCTCTGTGCCTACCTGGAGGTGATTTGAATTGATGATATCCTTTTCCATTGTTCATTTGTCTGAAAAATATGTCACAGCATTCCATTCTATGGTTTTATAATCAGCTACTTGTGCGGCATCCCCTGTTCGGAGATATATAAACCCATAGTACGACAGACTTCGTGCCAAGGAATTCTCGGTCAGAGCAGAAACATCCTTTGGGCAGTGGGTCGGAGTGGTTGGCTGCACTCCAGAGTCAGCCTGGCATGCATTGAGGAGGATTTGAGTCGAACATGTTTGCAATATTTTGCAGTTATGTCTTCTTGTGGCAATGTTGTTTGGATGTGGAACCCCACCAGTTTGAGTAGGCATACCCCCCAGGTTTGATTGGTCACGCTCACAGCTCCTGGTCGGCAATATCCCTCTATCGGTTCGGGATCTATCCCTTTATACTACTCTATTGACTCAATTAATTAATCATAATTATCATTGTGCACGAAGTGTTTCTACCTCCCAAAGTTGACTAAAAACATGGAACATGATTTTCTCGCCTAATTTTCATGAAAAGCCTCTTGGCAGCTGCTAGCTTGCCAGGCTTGGGAACTGGGACACGGCCAGAGCAGTTGCCCTGGCAACAGACGTCAGCCTGGCAGAAACCGGGCGGCCAGGGACAAGAGATGACGCAAGCAGATAATCAAGGGATTTTATGGGGTTTGACCCGGACATGAGCCTGAAATTTGATGGGGATATCATGAGACTATCGAGACTATCGTGGCATACAACCAATGATGCCATGATGTGGTTCAAGAATGATATTGGATGTAACGTCGCATCACTGGCATTGTATAATTATATATATATACATAATATGTTCAAGATCAATGGTTACTGCAGCCGAGCTGATTGGTTTGGGTATCCTCCAGATAGTTCAGATCCTTGGACCTTGTTTTTAAATTTAAGGCGGTGGTGGACCCTGGTGGGGGCCTTTTTTGGGGGTGATGAAAAAACCTACTGTGGAGAATATTATATATATATATATTTATAATAAACATTGTCTGATTCCTAGAATCGATGTGATTCAACCAATGCCATGGCGCATTCACTAAAGTTATGCCAGGTATCCTCATACCCAGTTTGGTCTGCGAAGATCACCATCAAGTGCCCATCTGTGGGGAGCGCCGAGCGGTGTAAAGGGACGGAATGTTGGTGAAAGGGGTGAAAGTTGGGACAAGGACATCAAAATCTGCATTCACGCTTCGACAAAACATGTGTGCATTGACTGGTTGCATTTGAACCCCTACTGTATTGCAAGGTCTTCAAGGTGCAGTTTTGGTTAATTGACACATATTGGCGGTTTGGGTTTATGTTTCATACATATTGACAATTTCCCCAACCACTTCGTTCAAGTGGTCCAACCATATCCATCCATCATCCAACTGTCAAAATCTGTCACATCTTTGTTTAGCCGAGAACTGAACGGGATTGATTTGTGTGTCCATTTCCACTGGTCAAATGTTTTGTGTTTGGTGATTGGCCCCGCATTTTTTGTGATTTTTGTTTTATAATATATGCAAATATCCCAGTTCGACCCCTGGTCTCACAAAATATTGCTGATCAATCTCGACATGTTTGTTGCTTTCTGAGACCAAATGTATGCTGCTCAATGTCCAGTTTTTGTGCTGAATATACAGACAACCTGTTGCAACGTTTTGTTCGGTGCAAAGCCACCATTCTGATTGTGGTCTATGTCCTGGTTTTCACACTGAGGTGGCAATAGAGCCTTGCTTATCAGTGGTGAGGGACGGGCATTTGGATTGTTTTGGCGTTTTGGAAGCGGAGCCGTACTTGAGCTCTCTTGGTAGGGATGAACTCTCAATTGGCTTATTGGATGGTTTGGAATCATGGGGTGTGTAGATTTGTGTTTGGGGTATTAACATGTATTAGCTATGCACTGTGTACAATAACTATATGAAATATACATGAGACACACACGCACATACGTAGGTCACCATTTGGGCCACAATTGTGGACTGAACTGGAAAAGTACACTTTTTTATGGTGGGCAGAAAAACAAACTGTGGGCGAAAACCAGAAGTCTGGCTAAAACGCGCATTTTTGTTAAACAATCAGGCAATAAATCCTGCCAAAAAGGTGAGAATTCACAGTAAGAGGGAGAGAATAGCCGATGACATTTTTTTGCCAAGTTTGAAATCTTAAGGATCATAGTTTCAGGCGGGAATTTCTCTCGGAGATATTGAATTCAGGCTATCTTTTGGCATGAAACAGATCCGGCCCAGAATTCAGTTTGAGTTTTTCCAGGACATCAGTGTACTGTAGACACTCTGTGACTTGAAAACCAAAAGGGGACTCTAGGACTCCGAGCTAGTTATTTGCTTTGGTTTTTTCAACGGCAATGAAGCAGCTTTCACCTCAATGATGGTCTCAAAAATCATGTTTAAGGGTCTCTGACCGGCGAAGATCACCTGAGCAAACATCTAAAAGGTTCATGCAGAGAAATTGTGTCGCAAACCATGGAAAATGATATAGAGAATTGCCTAAAAGGATAACTTTTGCTTTTGGCCGCCTCTGTGCCCCTTAGCTTTAAATCCTTCTTACCTGACCTTGGGAAACCAAGGACTTCAAATTTATCAAATTCGAGGAGTTTAAGTCTCCTGTGTGGGAGGAATGCCTGGTACCCCAGTATACCCCAGATGGGCAGACTCAGGGTTGGTTTCATGGGAAAAGTTTACGGACATACAGACATACATAATAATATCATATATTATAAATGATACATATTGTCGTGTTTTGCAATGGAGCTTTCATTAAAACTTGTTCCATTTTGTTCCTTCCAGTTCAGGGACATGAGCCATGTCAACAACCTAGTTGGCTGGTACGGTACCAACCATTTCTGCAGGGTATTGGTGTGGACGGTTTGCTGATGTAGCCAAAACTCACCCCGGCGGCCCCGGCGGGTCCCGAAACTCGAGGTGACAACCGCCACGTTGAGGTAGTGGCACTCGTGTCCGGCGGAGAGCCCCTTGGTTCGGAAGGTACTGGATTTCTTCATTTGTGTGTCCAAAGTTTATGAAGCTTATGATTGTTCATAACTTGTTGCTTTTCGGTTCCATCACATCTCCCAATCTGTCGCACACTCAGTCGATTTGATCGAGGACAAACAGTGGCATTCCACACTTTGGAGTGAACAACTTCTGTTACGTGCCGAGGCGCCAAACCCGTCTGGCTGGGGAGAATCCATCATTGGGTGAGTTTACCGTGACAGTCAGAATTTATGCTTACTTTGTACTGTACTCGGCTTGATGGGCCTGATGGGCTATTATATACGTACGTACGTATAATTACATATTATAACTGACAAAATACCAGGACATTGAATATATGGATATTATTGTTTGTTTTACTATTTGTTTGTAATAATAATTATATAATTTATACTTTATAATATTATACAGTATATATATACAATGTATATATATATATTATAATATGGTTTGAATCATCGGATGTTTGCACTAATTCAATCCAGTGTGATCCCAGTTTAGTAATAGGGAGATCCCATTTTAGTCGTATATAATTTGTGACTTTTTGGCACTAACCCCCATAAGTAATCAGCAGAGTTTATTCATCCGACATAGTGTTTTTTGCTGTTCCGATTCCTGAAGAATAATCACGTCCCGAAGATTAAATACCCTCAGCCACGAAACCTGCCCGAAGTACTTGATCTGTTCGGCCCCAGCGGGGGATCAATTCATCCCTGGGGGGATGGGATCCATTCTTTATTGTGAGACATGTCGATGTTTGCTGATTGACATCTGCCAAAAAGTGGAAATCCAAAAAATTGTGCAGTTTATACATGTTTATACTATATCATACCAATTTAGACTATATATCTTATGATATGGTAGTTTAGACATCTCCCTTAGCTCCTCTGTATCTCCATCGAATCACTCGAGCAGGTCTTGGAGCTCTTGTGCCAAGGCACGAATGGTCAGTGCCTGGGAGTGGCCGCCATATTCCCAGAGGAATCCTATGATCAGGGTTTGTCTGAAAATAGTGTACCCCTACACCCAATGGTTAATGATCATTATCCCTACTATATAAATGGCTATAATTGGGGGTATACCCCATTTTCAGACATACCCATCACCATAGATCACCATATTATTCTGGTGATATTCCTCTAATCATCCACCAACCATTCCGGAGATTTATTTTCATCTTGCTTTAAATCTATTTCAATCCGGGAATTTTGCCCTTCGACCAATTACATTGGTGCCTTTTTGCACGTTAAAAGTTATGTTTGTTGTTTTAGGGTCTGCCTCCTGGTCTACTGTGTAGCTTTCAATCAAGCCACCATTTTTATCCATAGATTCAACAGCTGTCCATTCCGTTTTAGGCAAATGCACGATGATCTGATTTGTATATTCATTTTCTATGATATCAAATTCTAGGGGTTCTTGCGTGGAAAAAATAATGATTGTATCTTCATTTTGGGTAAAGATAATCATGCTTTTAACAGGTTGTTTATTGGCCACTTTTGCTGCGCCAACCCCCCGGCTTTCAGAGTTGGGCAGCGGTGTTATTTCTTCTTCTGAAGAAACTATTAAACTAGGGGGATTTAATGTGGAAATCCTCTTACGAGTTTCCCCCAGAAAACCAGGTAGGTTAACCCCCCTGAAAGGACGTCTGTTTCTAGAGAAAAAATATGCATGGGAACATAGAGGCTTTATGTAACAACCCCCGTTGGTTCTAGAGAGCATTTTTTTTTATAAGTTGTAACCTATCATACTCGTATGGTCATACTTTTCTAGAGGCCAAAAAAACGGATTTTGCGGATAAAATTTCACATAACTTAGAGAGGTAAGAGTGAGCTTTTCTAGTGGCCCAGGTTTTCTCGAGCTGTTCAACATTGTTCAATACTGCAACACTAAGGAGTCAGATTGCGATTTTCTTGTGGATCCTGGTTTTTTAGAGGTAGACAATAGTGCAACAGGCAAGCTCCAGTATATGTCTGGAATTTTCTAAATATCATCTATGAGGAACCAAATATATGAAATTTTCATTGGACATGATTTTCTAGAAGTGTCTTTCTAAGCCCAAAGCACATGTTCACAATCTTCTAGCAGGGTCCAGCCTTGTTTTGCTTGTTGGTTTTTATAGAGGGGGTGCAAAATTTGATGAAGTTTGTAATGCTGATAGCCGTCTCAGCGTTTTATTTGATTCCAATTGGTTTCAATTGATTTCATATGACTTCATCTGACAACTGTTGAATTTCGGCTGGCAACTATTGGGTAGGATGGCTGGACATATTGCTAAGAGATGTTGAGACTTTTCTGAGCGGAAGGAAAAAATCGAAAAAATCGAATTTGAAAAATCATGAAAAATCGAAGAAATCGAAGAAATCGAATTTTTCGAAGCTGCTGCTGTGGGAGAAACTGGGTGACATTCGAAACACAATGTCCTCTAGAAAACCTGGACTTGTAACTCGGCAGTTGGTTTCTATGTCCGCATTTTCCGCAGTTAGGATCCTACCTCAGATGTCCGCGCATGATATTCTAAGGAAAAATGAGCGTACCATAGTGGAAAAATGCATTTTGGTATGCGTATGATTTTCTAAATGTGGTACTGTTATTTTGTGGTCAGAGTGTGCTTTACTATTTCCGTTAACTCAGGACCCTTCATTTTCTAATAGAAAAGCAGGGGTGCCTACCTACCCTGGTAAACTCGTACCCGGATATGTGGAAAGAATTCTTCCTGAAATTGAAGGGGAAAGCGTAGAGCTTTTTGTTAAAGTAGACCGTAAATTCCTAGAATCTGAATTGGCAAAGTACCTTGTTGATTGGATTTTTGCTTGCCGTGATGCCTGCTTTAAAAAAAATGACGTGACAAAATACCCTGTGTACAAACCTATGTGCAGCCACATTGTTACTATTGAATTTCTTGATAAATACCCAAAGCTTTTTCACGGGCTTTGTTGTGATCGACAATAGGTTCTGGGTATGTGTCCCCAAGTTCGATGTCTGTTTTTTCCAAGATTTCCTTAGGGGCTTCCCAAGGCGCGTGAATATGTTTGGCATCAAGCTTCGATAGCTCTGGAATCCAATCTTGAATATCTTTTTTATTAAAAAGTTTGGAAGGGCAAACCATATCCCAGCAAGAGATACGAACACAACAAGAATGATGCGCCAGCGGGCCATGTGAACCATTTTAGTAACCTATTTTTTGGTTGTAGAAGATTTGTTGCGTTTAGTAGGGGCTTTTTTCCCCGTCGCTTTTGCGGTTGTTGTTACTTTGGTTGCAACCATACCACGGGAAACTCTTACAAAAGTTGCCTTTTCAACTTCTAACTTAAATTCGGAATCATAAACTTCAGCAATGGTTCCAACAGGTCCCCCATTCATAATAATTTTATCACCATTTTCAAGTTCAGAAATCATTTTTTGATGTTCTTTTTGCTTTTTTTGCTTGTGGGCGAATTAGCAAAAAGTACATAAGGACAATTTGTCGCCTTCCAATTTTTAGGGTACCTAATTCTGAACAATGCTCATGTGAATATCGCAATTTCCTGTCGGCTAGTTGTTTCTTATTTCCTGATTTTGGGAAAGGTAAACCATCGAAAACATGGTAAACCATATGCCGAACTCCAAGCTGTTCAGATTTACTCGGAAAATGCATGAAACATCATGAAATAATTATAAGATATTATAAGATCAGCTATTAAAATTACCATGGTTGATCGACTATATTACCCATAGGATCCATGTATGCCATATATGGTAACATTTACCATCAATATACCCCAAATGTTACCATATATGGCATACATGGATCCTATGGGTTATGCTACCTTAGGGAAACCTATTGACCAACCAGTCCTTCATGAGATCTTCCTCCTGATTTTCCTCAAGGCCGAAGATCCCGCGGTGCCGCAAACGCAGCCCTGAGCCTCAGAGTTTTTTCGTTAATCATTGCCTTTTGATGCCTTTTGTATATACAGTATGTGTATACAATTTGTATACAATATATATATATATATGACATAATATATATATACATACTTGCATGACATACTTAACATTACATACATTCAATCCACAATTTGGACTTCAATATTTGATGATTTGACCTTTTGAGCGGTCGACGAATTCATGGTTTATAAAGTTTATATACGTATTTTTTTCTGTGCATATCATATTTATTGAAAGCACAACTGGTCTAAATTGGGTTTGCTTGGGATAATTTTACGATAACATTTTATGCTTCCCTTATCTCTAGTCATGCCATCAGCTGTCACAACATGGAGCATATGGCTTGACATCAACCGGACACCCGACTGCATCTGAGGGAAACCATGCGAATGGCCTCGGGCTCAGTGGACATCAGCGCAATAAGACACGATAAACGAATGGGGCAAGTCGTTATTTTGCACACACAGTACCAAGATATTGTTTGTTTTTAGGAGATGTATTTTTTCAATTAAACAAATCATGAGAGATCATCAAGCACAAAAACTGGAGTTTTTGTGCTTTACTAGTTGGGGGTGGTCGCACCCTTGTCAGCTCTAGAAAAGCCCACTTAGACGAAGCGACGCTTCAGCGCATTGGCTGAATGTGGAGAGCCAAGGCCCACGTGGGAAGGGGTTTGGAGGGGGTTGGAGGGAACTTACGCCAGGATTGACCAGGCCAGGTAGGATGATCATAGGAGTTTGTGTCAAAATAAGGGATATGCCACCCCATCAAGTAATTTTGAACCTTATTTTCGAAACCATGTGGTTCTGAAATTGGTTTCCACTTTCGTCCATACCTCCTATGTAAGTTGAACCGAAAGTAAATGCATGACTGGATAAACATTGATCATTATATATATATAAATAGGACGTAACCAGCAACAGTGTGAGGTACCAAGCAAATCCAACAATCATTAGTTATTAATTAGTTATACATTTGGTAGGTGTTTCTGTGTTTTTTGCTGCCATAGACAGATCGTTATAACACGATAAAACCATAAGATCTCACCCCAAAAGATCCAGTCCGATTCCTTTGAGGTGAGAGTCGATTTGGATCCCAGACATTCCGCCAGCTCTCTGGATGAGCCTACCACTATTCTCTTGGTAAAACGCGAGATAGTCAGAGAAAATGTCAGAATATATGTGAGATTAAATGTCAGAATATATCATAATATATCATGATGTCAGATGAATGTCAGAATATATGCCAAGGTAGGGATTACTCGATGAAAATAATTCCTGATTATCTAAGACTTGCCACGATTATTCAATAATCAACGATTGGGCAATCAACAATTGAGTGAACGCTGAGCAATGTCACGGCCCAACAAATTGAATCCAAATCGGGCATTTATTATCAATGTTTCTTCGATCATTCAACAAATTAAACAAGTGAATGAACAATCATTGCCACAAAACAACGGCCAACGCGGCCAACGCAGACAACGCCCACTAGGAGACTGGTTCCTGGTGTTGCTCACAGGTTGAAATTCGACATAATATGACAATTGTTTGTATATATGTGTTTGGGGGATTTGAAGGTCAGCACATCGCTTGTGCCTCTGGTTGTTTGTCGCTTATGCCTCGGGCTTGTCGTCCCATCAACCTGTGGATCATTTGAGAACGATGAAATTTGCAATGCAATGTTATTGCTGAAGAAAACAGGTCCGATTGATGAAATTAATCACTATTATATAGTGACCATGCACCAAGCAGCCGCCATGTTCACTCTGAAAACAGTCATTTTGGACCATATTATGATTACAGAAACACATTCCAGGGTGTAGCTGAATTCAACATCAGGGTTAAACATGGTTAAACCAATTATATAATTTTAGTGCCCTTGGCCACGGTTCAACTCAATGTATCTCCATCTTTCAGTGTCATTGATCTCCCAACTTGTTAGGTATTTGTGCAGTGAACCAGGTCGTCCATGACATGTCATGTTGCTATGTGTTTCTGGTTTCAATCATATATATATATATTATACATAATTATACATATATATATACATACATATATATATATACATATATATATACATATATATATACATACATATATATATATATACATATATATATATACATATATATATATACATATAGATATGCATATATATACATATACACATACATATTTATATATGCATATATACATACATATACATATATATATATAGATGCATACATACATACATACACATACACATACACATACACATACACATACACATACACATACACATACATACACATACATACATCCACATACATACATACATACATACATACACATACATACATACACATACATACATACACATACATACATACACATACATACATACGCATACATACATACATACGCATACATACATACGCATACATACATACGCATACATACATACACATACATACATACATACACATACATACATACATATATATATATATACACATACATATGCATATGTATATATATATGCATATGTATGTTTTATTGTAAAGCTACCTGGGATGACGTTCCCCAAATATCCCCAAACATATCATAATGTGTTTATACATTATATGTTTTGAACATGGGCCGTTCAACCATGAAAATCTCCCGACGCAGGCGCAACACTTCCTCCACCCTTCTCACTGAGAGGGTTCGATTGGTGGCAGAGCAGTGGGGGTCAATCCCTTAGCCATCCTTAGCCCATTTCCAGTGACTAAACATGACTTGACTTGTACATACTACTATTCATATACTGGTTGGTGGTTTGATTTTATATTTTCCATAAAATATGGGACAATCCTTCCCATTGACGAACTCATATTTTTCAGAGGGGTGGCTCAACCACCAACCAGAAAAAAACATTGCTGTTGGTATTGCTGTTGGTGCCAGAAATCTATGCTGATGAAATCTACCGTGTCATGCCCAGGCGATGCCAAAACCTTTCCGGTCCTGAGCTGGGGCCCCTAGCTCCCAAACGATAGGTTAAGAACGGCTTGTTTGTTCTTGAATTTGCCACATCAGCAACAAGTCTAAAAAAAAGTGGTGGTAAGATGTGGCAAGCAGTTCTATCACAACAGCAACCTAACCTGGTTTTACAAGTGGTCGGTGCTTTCGAATGGTTTTGAATGTGTTTGATTTTCCATCCTTGTTTGATCCGGGATCGGCATTTTGTTTTGCGGGCGAACCAGATTGGTCGATCAGGAAGGACCAACAATGGCACCAACCAACAACTCGTGATGTCAAGCGTATTTGATGTGAACAAAAACAATGGACAATTCTTGGGTGTAGACTGACTGGGTGCAACACACCCATAAAAATATCGTCGATTATGACTGCTCAACATCTCCAAATATGGAAGATGCCCCAGCCACTGAATCCCCTGGGGAGATGCACAATAATCATCAATATATAATCCCTTCCCTAATGGGCTCAGTCTTGGATCTGTTCAATTTGGGGTCCCATATGCGGGGGCGTCATATGAGGGGGAAGGAATTTGTTTTTTTCTATTTGCTTTATTTAGGGGGCCAGATTTCTTGGAAGCGTCTATATATATATACATATAGGCTTTGTGCCTCATTTACCTCCTTGGCGCAGTTTTTACACGGCATGTTCACCACAGAGGGACTCGAGAACCTTGTCAAAACAATTCAAAACATATTTCAGGATGGAGACCCCCTTCGATGGTTTTTTTTGTGAATAACCTGAGTAGCCAACACTAAAGTCACTATAAACATCTATAAATATCTATAAACTATCTACACACATGACTTCATTGGCAATTTATTATGATTCGCTGTTCAGAACGTGCTGTTCCATCCGCGCCAAGGCAATGTGTCATTCTGAAGCTCAAGGGCATCAAGGAAACGGAAGCGAACAAACTCGTTGTGGAAGTGGTGTTCAAGGTGGAGCCAGGATGTTTGCCAAACTGCCCAAGGAAAATGATGGAAAGCTCTTGAAGAGCTTGGGAGAACGTATTGATTGGGTATATACGAGATGTTCCTGTGGCTGCTAGCCAGGATAGATAGGCTAGCAATCCTGAGAGTTTTGATCAATTACCTCTGGCCCTGTCTCATGAACCAAGGAAATTACATGACATTAATTTGGAGCACCTGCATAGTTGACATAAGTCCTGCATGACTTTTGCATGGCAAACAAATGACATTGTTTGAGCATGGCACTAACAACCAGCTATGGCCAAAAGCAATTTATTGAAGTCCCGCACAAGGGGGTGTTTTTGAGCAACAAAACCCAGTGGCTGTCGCAGGCGAATGCGGTTAATGTATGTTAATGGTTGATTCGATGTTATTCGTATTTATTTGTGTTCAACAATGAACTTACTGGTGCTTAATAGGGAATGGATGGGTTGCTGGGCTGTGCTGGGATGATTATTACTATAGTGATTGTGGATATTTGTGGATCATGCCCAGAATTTTGCCCCCTTTTCAGTATATACCGTCATCTGAAAAAAAATCCACCTGGGATCTCCAAGGATGTTAGGGAAAGCGTTCTATGTATGTGAAGCGACACATGTGTTAGAACTGTTCATGAAAGTTGTTTGGGGTCCAAATTGGCAAGGATTTTACATATGCAATATGTAGCTTCGAAACCAGGATATGTTTGAATTTATATGAGCTGCGGTCAAAATAAGCGGAGACTACTTTAGTAAGGGGGGTCCAGTTGTGTTGAGAAAATGCACCAAACCATGTAAAGCGATAGGCCCCCACAAAAAAAGCGATAACTTGTAACCATATGAGAGTGCATGAAATTTGGTGTAAACCAAGCAAATATTGTTGTGTCGAACATATATCCATATGAATTGGCGATCCATTTTATATTTGGCTTTCCTTTTAAAAAAGGCGTCGGCTTGTTTCTGGACCAGCCCCTTTTGGATGATAGCAGATGATAGCAGAGCAATATTGCCCAAACATAGCAGCGGACTGTATTGAGGGGAGGTGTTACAGTACTAATGCACTTGGGAGGTTGGCTTTTTTACTTTAAACTTTAAACATTGATTTATTTTTTTACACATTTGAGCATTATCAACATTGGACTATTGGATTGTTTGGTGCCGGATTTTTGTTGGTTTCCTGTGGATTTTCCCATAAAAAACCTATCCGATTTGATACCCATCCATTCCCATCATTCCCATCATTCCCATCATTCCCATCATTCCCATCGTTCCCATCATTCCCATCGTTCCCATCGTTCCCATCCCCGGTTTAACCGGAAGTTCAGCCCGCATTTGAAAGCCTGGCTTTCGAGACTGCGCAGGCAGCCAGCCAGAAACCCACATTGTCCCTGAATCTGACTTCCTGGGATGCAGAGGGCTTGCAGGCGGCCGAAGTTGGGCGTCGACACGCCTGAAAAAAACGGTGATGTCAAAATAGCTATTGAACATGGCCATAGAAATAGTGCATTTACTCATTGAAAATGGTGATGTTCCATAGTTTTTTGTATGTTTACCAGAGGGTATTTGGATCAAACTTTAGGATTGGGGGATGGGTCAAGACTAAAACAAGAAACACGTTCTGCAACGTTCCATGCCATCTGCAAGCGTATGTATATATAGGCTTGTCCAGGCTTCTGGAACTGCGTAAACCTGAATACGATTGGGGGGTGGGGTGGGGTGGGATGTTAACGTTCATGTGAACTTGCGGCAGCAGTTGATGCTACGCACACGCGGGGTGGGGGTGGTGGGGTGGGATGTTACGTTCATGTGAACTTGCGCAGCAGTTGATCTACGCACACGCGGGGTGGGGGGGGGGTGGGGTGGGATGTTAACGTTCATGTGAACTTGACGGCAGCAGTGATTCTACGCACACGCGGGGTGGGGGGTGGGTGGGGTGGGATGTTAACGTTCATGTGAACTTGCACGGCGTTGGAATTCTACGACACGCGAGGTGTGGGGGGGGGGGGGTGGGGTGGATGTTAACGTTCATGTTCTGGTGATGATGTACTGATGATGATTGATAGATGCCCGATGATTGAGGAGATGTATGAATGATGATGATGATGATGATAATGACCCTAATGAAACTTGTTAATTCCGCGACGAAATTTCGTCACGGAATGGACAAGTTTTACCAACCTAATTCAGGTTTACGCAGTTCCAGAAGCCTGGACGAGGCTATATATACAATAATCATATATAATCATAATTAGTATACATATACTATTATGATGAAAAACAATATCAAATATTATACAATTATATACTACTACTACTACTACTACTACTACTACTAGTGTGTATATATATATAACATGAAAGATGTCTGAGGTAAACGGACGCGTGAATTTCCACACATGAGCCGTTAGCCCGGCGCCAGGCAGCATGGTCTATGGCGGTCACCGCAGTGGAGCTGTCACCGGGAATGCATTTCTTCCACTTTCGCGTGAATGGCGTCCTTAACTCAGCCCGTCTCGCCCATGGATGGTCCACCATGGATGGATCGGTGGTTGCACCTTCCTAGCTACAGACATCGACGGTGGAGATGAACATGATGAAATATGATGAAATGATATGAAATGAAGATATTGAAGTATTGAAGTCAGATTTTTTCGATTTTAAACCATCTTACTGTTCCTCAAAATAAAATTGATGGCTTGAGCTGCCTTTGATGATCACTGTCAGCGGTTTTTCACTATATATATATATGTTCTCCAAGTCTTTTTGCTTTTCAAATTGAATACCCTCTGGGTAAACGAGTACGCCATTGGAAAAACGAAGAAGTAGAATAAAACAACACCTCCTCCAAGTGGGAACTTTCCATTGCCATTGCCATGTTAGATCACCGACCAAATCCGACCAAGGCGTTCGCATTGTCTGGTGAACACATCCGCATTGGCCGCTGGAATGCCTTGCATTGCAGCGACCCACTTCGCCCGGGGCTCATCAGGATCTCGATTTACTGGTGAGTCAGAATTTGGTGAATGGTGAAAGAGTGCAAAATAGGTGTTCTCAAATTTGATGAGTGAAAATGTGAGACCACACAATACAAAAGAATTTTCTTTATTATCATCCAATTTAGAGGGAATTCAGCCCGATGTCATGGAAGTTCTTGACATGACACGCCTCACCTTGCAATGCCTTGGCTTTGCCCAGGTCGCTATTTGTTGGCGAGAGACAGCAATGGCCAGCGGGGCTCCCATTTTGGCGAAAATGAGGGATCCGGGATCTGGGTCAACAATGGAATTCCCAGGGTGACTTTGGTACGTACAAATGTATATATAACTATATTGTAATATATTGTAATTATGTATCGGATGTATAGGTTCATATATTATATATATATATTTAAAATATGTATATTACACACATATTATACGCACATTTACATAACATAGTTACAACACGTGTACATACGTATAGTTACAGTTTGTGATGCTGTATGGCTGATCCGGAGTCTTCCGAGGCTGTCCGAGGAAGGACAGTGCGAGGCTCAGTGGACGCGCCTGGAAGTCATTGAAATGTGTGTATTTCACTGACTGGGTTACTGTAGTTGGATTTCATTGTTTGTACTTCTCTGAACATTGGGTATATATGGCTATAAATGAGTATAGTGGCGACCATATAGTGTAATTGGGGATACACTATTGATATACGTAATGGGAATATAATCCAAAGCTTGGCTTCCTAAAACTGGGGACCCAGAACAAATCCAAAACATGTCACTTTAATAGACTGCAGGGTTTTGATTTCCGCGTTTTGGAAGTCTAAACATTTGATATCAGATTTGTTGCTGTTTTTTTTCCTGAAATTCATATAATATGTATATATGTATATATGTGGATTTATTATGCCATTGCTGGGGGAATCTTGATTCGGTAGTTGTTAGCACGGCTCCGGGGTCTGTGGGTGGCTCGCTCTTTTTGCTGTTGAACGCTGCAATGATGAAATGATGCTACAGGTTGAAGGGGGGGGCGGAAGGGTGCAATAACGTTCTATGGTTTTCGGACAAATGGGGATGGGTCAAAACCCTGGTACCTAGTGAACCCCAAAATACTAGTAGCTGGTAAATGGATGTTCATCCCACTAAAAATGTATCTATAGGTATTGATCCATCCCCAAATAAATGACGCTACGCTACTTGAAGTTGACTTAGACTCGCACATGCACAGTACTTGATGCGACACTGCTCTAAGTTGACTTGGGCTTACACACACATACATGATGCTACGCTACTCTAAGTTGTTTTGGACTGAAATAAAACTTGATGTTATACTGCTGGAAGTCTGGAAGTTGATTTGTTTCAATCCCAAGTTGACTAGAAGGTCCTGCTAGCAAACTATCTGTTTGACCAGTGCGCCCGAAACGTCTCTTACACAAAGAGGTAGCCAGATTTTCTGTGTGGCATTGCTACAACACAGCACAAATATTCGACGGTGTCAGGCGTGTCCTTTGGGCAGTTGGGATCCACAGTGGTATCGAAATCGCACATTGATGATAAATAGTTAGGAAGAAAGATGATTGGGACAGATGGTCTGTTTATCTTGGGGACGTTTTACACCTCTATGCATGGCTCATCCTGTGGCCAATTTTTGGCTTTATTTTGAGAATTTGGGAGAGTCAAAGTGCAGGATTTCGCTTTCACTTTGTGCGGCACCAGGGTGTGGTATATATTGCTGACATGTTTTTCTTTCCCCGACTGGCAGGATGAGGGGTTTGTTAGATTTTATGTCAGTTGCCGCTGCTCCTCTTATCTCCAAGAAGAAGAGAAGCCGTGGGGGGGGCAGAAGGGGAAAGGTGGAGTTAAGTGGTTTGTGTGGTGTGTTAAAAGGGTGTAAATTCTGAACAGCTTGGAGTTTCCCGCTCGATCTCCTCGACTCATCCTCATCTGTCGATCCTCCTCGTCGTCCTCCTCCTCGTCCTCCTCGTCCAACTGCGACCCGCGATCCACAGTGTTCTCTGTCGGACCTCAACCACGACCATCCATGCTCAGTGTTCCCTGCCGGACCTCAACCACGACCATCCACGTCCAGTGTTCCCTGCCGGACCTCAACCACGACCATCCACGCCCAATGTTCCCTGCCGGACCTCAACCACGACCATCCCCGCCCAGTGTTCCCTGCCGGACCTCAACCACGACCATCCACGCCCAGTGTTCCCTGCCGGACCTCAACCGCGAGTATCCACGCCCAGTGTTCCCTGCCGGACCTCAACCGGAGTTATCCACGCCAAGGGTTCCCTGCAGGATCCTACATAGTAGGATAAGTCTGGAACAAGCCCGCCCATGTGCAGAGCCAGCATCGTACAACGACAAGTGGAATGTTGCCACCGCGGGCCCTCAACGGCCAGATAGGATGTCAGAAGATATGCCAGAAGATATGCCAGATAGAATGCCAGATAGATTGCCAGAAGATATGCCAGAACATATGCCAGAAAATATGCCAGATAGAATGCCAGAAGGTATGCCATAGAATATGCCACCAGATGGAATACGGGTCCAGATTAAAAGTGCCAGGTTATGCCAGATAGAATGCCAGAAGATTTGCCAGATAGGAAGGCAGAAGATATGCCAGAACATATGCCAGAAGATATGCCAGGTAGAATGCCAGAAGGTATGCCAGATCGAATGCCAGAAGATATGTCAGATAGAATGCCAGAAGATTTGCCAGTAACAAATCGATAAATGTCATGGTGGGGATCACACGAAGTAAAGTAATTCAAATATATCCAAGTTCAGTTTTTTGGGCGCCCTAAATGGTTTGAAATCAACGTAGTAGAATGTAGTAGACCCAAAAGTATGGCATGGTTTTGGCCCCAAACCATAGGCCATATCCATCCATATCCCATTCAACCAGATTTTTACAGAAATGAGGCTATTCAAAACTAGTGTCGTAATTTTTTGAAAGTGTTTGTGACATTCGTGACCTGCTGAGAATGGTCGAGAAGACCCGATCCAAGCGAATTGGTGATATGGCGCGGCCGTTTGGGTGTGGGTCTATCCAATGGGTGGACAAGTGAAAGGTGTCCACGTTTTCGCCAAATTCGAAGCACCCATTTTTTGGTGAGATACAGGATTGTCGGGATTGTGTCACCGCACACGGTTCGATTCATAGGGGTGATTTTGGGTGTTTCAAATTGGAAGTTGGTTCCTGAAGTTCAGTGGAAGTTGGATGTGTTTTTTTGTCTTGACACATTGAAAAACGTAAGGATGATAAGGATGGTAAACATTAAGAAGAGTTGTTTGTTGTTTTGGGAATGAAATGCCTTGCCAATCTAAAGTTCTGAATAGAAATTATTAGATTTGTTTTTTTCCATTCCATTCAGGTTTGTCTGAAAATTATGGGACAACTCGGAGAGTAGCCCATGTTTTAAAACATCATTTGAGACTTCAGTCACCATTTCCCCCACCAAGATTGCCGCAGCTTTGGCCGGGGTTAAATCACTTATCGTACTTATATTCAGTATTCAGACCTGGTAGCTTCGCACCTTTACTTTCACTGGATTTGGGGGCCTCTCCACCTTTATGTGAGCCGCTTCAGCATTTTTGGAGATCACCTACAATATCATATCTTATCATTACTTGACTTATATTTCTGATTATTTCTGCACATCTATATGCATAATCTATTATCATTTATTGCTTCCAGATCTTTATTGAAGCTGGTCCTCCATCACGTCGGCCAGGCTTTTCATTCCGTCGTCGGAGATGCTTCGTCAGCCGACGCGATTGGTTTGCAGGTCAGCTGAAGTGCGTTTTGCATTGTTTTGCCGGGATCAACGCGTGTGAAAGGAAAAGTGCAGGCCAATATGACTCAATATGTCAGTGCAGAACACACCTTATACATATATATATATATACATACCTTATCAACAAGCTTTCTGACAGCTGAGTGTTGTTTTTCAACTCTGACAGGAGTGCGGGGGCCAGATTGTCCGCCCATATAGTGTCTGCAGGGAGCCTTAAAACCTGTTCACTGGAAGTAGATCTCAAAATGGTGTTATTTCAGGATATTTTACTGGTTGGTGGTTTCAAACATTTTTTATTTTCCATAATATATGGGATAATCCTTCCCATTGACTTTCATATTTTTCAAGATGGTTAAAACCACCAACCAGTTTAGGTTGGTGTTTTGTTCTTAGTTTTTGCAGGTTTGAATCAAAGATGATCAAAGGGTCCACCGGGCCCTGGGGCGATGTTGAGAGTGAAGCTGCGCAGAAGATCGCAGAATGGGCACCACTTCATGGCTTAGCATAGCCCTTGAATTCACATTCGAAAGTGGCAACTGATTGAGGATACATATTGAGGTACGATTTGAATGGATTACACTACTTAGTGCATCTCAATGCCGCGAACATAAGTGAAGTAAGCATAATATAAATATATTCAGTATTAGTAATACAGTGTCTGTAAAACCTTGGTGGATCAATTTGCCATTCATATCGATTGATAACATGGGGTCAGGACGGAAGTGGTGTCTACTTAGCATAGGTTCTTTTCGCCAATGCCCTGGACAATCCACAAGTTTATTGGCTGATTTTGCACAATTTTGACACTTGGTTTCACTTGGTTCAAGGGAATTTCTACAGGAAAACATGATTTCTAGATATTTCTAGTGGGGAAAGAAAGGTTTCCAGTAAATGACTAAGCCAAGCCGATGCACATTTGAAGAAGTGCTGGCAATCCATGGCAGGGTGCGTTTTGGACCCCCGAGGATTTGTTTTCTTTCGGAACTGCACATAAAAGACATGTCATGACACACACATATATATATATACAGATATATATACAGATATATACTCTATATTACTATAGTATTTTTTTGGTCATATACATGTGAATCAAAAGGTCATGTCTTTTACCATACATAAAACACAAAAAAATGTCACACCGAGCACCCAGGTGGACATCTGGCCCGCGATGACTCCGATGAGCGTGACAATCAGGCGTGGAATGAAGGCGGTTTCCCCCCAACAAGTCAGGTAAAGCTTCCACCGAATGTTGAGAAATGATGAGAAATGAACTTGTGGAAAGCTGTTTGGGAATGCAGACGGATATTTTTTTCACATCAAATTGATTCTAAGTTTTGGTTTGGTTTGCATTGATTAGAATTTGGCTGACTTTAGTTGAAAACAACTTGACTTTAAAAACTTTGAAGTGAACTTTGATCAGATTGCCTCTATGTAGTTGAATTCAAAATTCAAACAGGTTGATTTGACTTTTACATGAATCTAAAGTGGATTGAATTTGAATTGGAGCTGACTTTCCTTTGGAGTTTTGAGAAGGACTGCAAAATTGGAGGGGTTCAACCGACGCTTTCATATATTTTGGTGTTAGCGTGTTTCTGGACTACCCCCGTCGCGAGTCTGTAGGATCTGGAGATTTTTCGAGGTCCAAAAACAGAACAGGAGACAAAGCAAAGGACGAAACAACTCAAAATACTCAAACTGCACTGTAAAGCAGGACAAATATATATTCCAAAAGAGTTGGCGTAATTTATTTTGTTGGGTGCATATGAGAAATTGGCGTACTTGATTCGAACCCATGTGTCAATCGGACGTGAACATTATAATACATAGTTTCCTTTCGTTTGTGATTTGTATGTATCCATTGGAAGTTTATACAATAGCATCATGCATATGTATATATATATAATTGTATATATATACTATTATATACATCGCTGATCAGAGCTCGCATGTGTACCCACTGACTACAGAGATGTCGGTTCAATCGTGGCAGGTCCTCCGGGTGTTGATTTGTCTCCCTTCACATTCCCTGCGGCTGTTAGGATGCAGCGAATTCGTTTGCTCCGTTCGCCATTGAGGTGTATGAAGGCGGAAGGGGGCCTGCGGGGCATGTGCAAAAGATGCCCTCTCAACTTGATCCTGCTCAGATTTAGATCAATATATATATATATATACAACTAGTGAATACATCTGAATACAATTTTATTGGAAGAGAACATGTCCATTCTGATAGTGCTACTTTAGGGGGATGTTGGTGAAGCGCAGTAGGGTTTTTCTTGGGCAGTGATTTCCAGTGTTGGTTGGAGTCTAGAGTTGAGATCATAGTGTTTGTCTTTGAATATGGGTACATAGTCAATCATGATTATGTCCCATCGCATTATAATGAGGTGCACAATTATTCTTTTTCAGGTATATATAAACATCTTTTCAGGTATACCACAAAACATATTTTGGGGCTAACCAACAGAAACACCATGAACAAGGCATGTGCTCGGGACCCTTCCAATCTTATTTGGCTGATACTAGTAGTTTCAAACATTGTTTGTTCCCGTCCATACCTGAACTAAATCAACTTTGATTTCACCATGAATTCTGGGTCTTTTCCCTGTCTTTGGTGATTGACTATATACTCCCTAAGGATCCATGGTGCTGGAATATTTACCTACATTGGGATTATTTTAAATTACTTTAGGGGTCAATGTAGGTAAATATTCCATACATGGATCCTCTGGGACTATTTGCCTCCAGTTTTTCACAAAATGCTCGCAGAGAGCCAAGGCTTGTTCGATCGAGAGCTGATGCTTCGCTTGGACGGAGTGGTTTTTTGGTGGCACAGCGGGTTCGGTGGGTTAGTTTTTGGTCATTTAAAAAATGACAAATGGCGACATCATAGGGAATTTACTTACATACATACAGCCATAATGGGTAATTACAGGGATTTAACTTGATTTAACTTGCATACATAAATAAGTATATATATATATAAGTATATATATAATTATATATATATATATATATTTAAATATATATTATAATATGTAATAATATATTGCATATAAATGATAATATATTGCATATATAGTAATATATTGCATGTATAATATACATATATAAACATATGTAATATATATATATATAATGGGTAATCATATCATGAATGTTTTCGTTCAAAGAACATGGGATTTAACAACCATTTTGTAGCCATTTACATTGACTGATCATGAACCAGCGTATGGTGTTGCGGACGCCTCACAAGACCACTATTCGAGTGGGCAAGAGTGAGGATCTGAAACAGGTTGTCGGTGTTTTTCATCAAACCCAGTTTTACATGTCTTCACCCATCAAACGCCAACCAGGACGCAATGGGGTATGGGGTATAGAATGGAATATCCATTGAAGTGCACCTAGTCTTTGACCCAGTCAATCTGAACTTATGTGTTTAAGAATTAAGAATGTTTAAGATTTCTGACCTGGTACTGGTATCCATGAATATCCGGTCAGATTCCCAAATAGAAGAGGATAAAGCGAGTTCAGCACGCGCATTTTTCGGGTGTAGCTGACCCGGTCCGTGAGGTGCTTCCAGAGGTTCCCGAGCCACCCCTTCAGCTGGGTGAAAACGCAGGTGGGATACAGGAGGAAGCAACAATTTAGACAGAGATCCAAAGGTCAAGAGCCATCAAAAGATGTGGCTTTGACCCAACATTTTCTGGCTTTTACCATATTTTACCAACAGCTTGGAATGCGCCCAAAGATGCTGTTTTTTTAGCAAGAGCTTGGGATTTGAGCACTAAAAGATGATGGTATCTTAAGTATTAAGCTTGGGATTTGAGCACCCAAGATTTTGTCAAAAGATGTGGATATCCGATGCAGCTGGCCACTGGAGAATAAAAGAGATGGGCATCGGGATCTTTTCCAACAGCTTGGGATTTGAGCACTGATGGGATGAGATGATGGGGATATCAACCAGTAAAAGATGGAGATATCTGATATCCCAGAATGAGGAGATCAAGATCACCGGAGATGTGACCAATGAAATTGCGGATTTGACTGTCAAGAGCCAGTGTATCGTTTCCCTTGTTGCTAGGTTTATTGCAGATATTTTGGGGCTTTCCACCACCCGTTTTGTTTTGTGACGAACCTTTGTCGTCTCTACTCCCTGGCGCCAGAATGTGCGTTGCGACTCTGGGTTATGGCCTCAGCAATTTCTCAGACACGGGGAGCTCGCATCAATAATTGCTGTGTTACAACGGGGTTTACTGTATATCTATATATACATATTCAGAAATTAGTCAAGCATAATGACACTTGAAACTTCCCCCATGAATACAATATATTATATATCTAATAAAATAATGATAACAACAATAATAATAACAACAATGGAGATTATATATATATATATATACATATATATGCCGTTTGCTTTGACTTTCCGATTGACAATTGAACTTTAACCCAGTCATCCATGATGACATGTCATGTTCATAATTCCCTTCCTTCTGAGGGTCAAGTCAAGATGACTTGGTACATGTTGGTACCAAGGCCGGAGCTCACCTGATCAAGAAGGCACATGGCGCTTGTTCCTTCCTCAGCGACACTGGCCCGAGCCGTTTCCAGCTGCTGTTTTATGTTTGGTTGCTTTATGGGGATCCAACCTCATCTAAGATGAACAGAGATTGGTTGTAGTTTCACTTCCACTCTCTTGACAGTACAACTTCTCTGGAAGGGAAGATGGCTAAGGGAAGTTTTTTGACATGTCTTATTGCATTCGAAGGTTTCAAACTAGTGAAAGGAACAATCCATATTTTGTCCTGAAAACCTCTGTGTCAAAATGATGTCGTAGTCCGGTCAAGTCTCCATTTGTTTGCCAATTTTGGACCTGGTCTAGCAGGGCTTCAAGGTACTGCAAGGTCCTTACATCCATGGGTACGCCAAGTATCTAGGAAATATGCGGAAGTCAAGGCCACAAAATGGCTGTTTTTATGCATTCCTTTTCCAGGGGTGCCCCACTTTAGAAAATCATGGCCCAACATTTGGGTTTGTTGAACGATAGCACACCACGATCCATCCACTAGTTCATCATTTTGTTTTCCCATGACAAAAAATGGCGGGTGGAAATCCGTGAAATCTTTGGGGGACAAGATCACAAGATCTCTTTTGGTTTAATCATGGAATCAATCCACTTTTGGATAACAAGACGCTCATGGCCGGGGGAGATATCAAGGTGAGGATGCGTTCTTTGTGGACCCTCATGGCATGGGTGTGGCTGATGGAGTCGGCTGCATGGTCGGGAAAACCCAGAGTCGGCGTTTCTTTTCCTCATGGTTTTTCTCCTTCATTCAGTGGATATTGAATCAATGAACAGATGGATTTACCATGATTTACCCTGATTTACCTACCTGATTTATCCAGCAAACATAATTATTGACTATATGACTATATTAAACGGTTTTAATGTGATTTAAACACTAACTTCTAATCGGATGTGACCAGGAAAGGTTGGCCTTTAACAAAGGTGAACCCAAAATGGAGAGATCACCCCCGATGCTGGTTTAAATGCTCATCATGTATGAGACTGTATGATATTTGTATGTAACTTATGTTTTTCTGGTGTAATGTGGCGTAATCATCATCAACCCAGTTATTTACAGATTCTATCGGGGGGCATGTTTGACATACATATATATATATTATAATATATATATATATATATATAATATATATATATATATATATATATTAATGTTGTTGTTATTATTAATTATTTCTATATACGTATATACTTTCCGGGGCAACCCTCGTCAACCTACAAATGGTTGTTTCATGTTGTTTCTCAAACTTGCTGGAGTCAGCATTGACTTCTCCAGAGCCAATAACTTGGATGAGTCCCCCATAATCACTTGACAGGTGCAATTTGCAAGCTACGGCATCAACGCGGCTCAATACGCCGCAGAGCTGTCCGGGCCTCGGCCGTTTAGGAACCCTTGGGAGATGGGGTTTCTGGGTGATATTTTTTACATGAAACTTAAAGGTCCATGGATTTTGAATGATGTTGGTCATTTTGGCGGTCTGTGGTTAATTGTATTTATAGAGTTTGTGTGAGTTTGTTTTTATGGTCCTTCAGCAATCTGATATTGTTCGTCGGTTTTGTTGGGACCATTTTAAGTGGCTAGCTGAACCCCCAAACAGGTTTTGTGAACAGTATTTCCTCCAAAATAAGGCTTTCCCGCGCCTATACAGGCCATTCACTGGTTGATTTGCGGGTTCAGCCCTGACCAAGGATGGAATTCTCCTCCGCGGCTCTGAAGTGGGGTGACCCACATGTCTCAGTTTTTGGTTTCCGGCAACAAAACGGACTGATCCATGTAGAGATTGTAGAGCCCTTGTGTTTTTTTTCATGTTGACTCTATATACGGATCTTCAAGGTGGCAGTGGATATTGTAAGATTTATAAAACATGGTTTGCTTGCTGAAGATTGAATGAAGTCACGTGAACCTCTTGTCAGTTGTGCAGTTCTGCAAGCAGTTTGGTAAGAAACTGCGGCAGCCACCAGATTATATCACCCTTTCCAACACCAGGCTTAGTGTATAAAATACACTGAGACTTAATCATGCTTAATCTACCCAATGACTATGATTAAGCACGTGTTTTCATGTTTTTTGGGTTGATATCACTAGCTTGCACAGTACTATACTATACTATACTGGTAACTTACATTAATGCTTGATGACTTGGAGTAGTGACATGTGCCTCCAAAATCAGATGACTTTGAATCAGCGGTCAGGAACCAATTGCTTTTGGTGACCTTTGGTGGCCGGTACAGTAAGGTATTTAATCCTGGTGGAGCAGGTTTCCCATGCACATGCTTGCATTATAGGTTAATCAAATAGGTTGTAGAAATTTCTATTCTGATTCTGAAATGCCGAGCGTTCGTGGCCAAAGAGTTTTTTGTGCTTCGTGGGTCTTTGTGGGAAGAAACCGCTATTTGTGAAAACTGCAAATTGTGCATGCAAACAAGCGTGTGAGCTTTAGCCTGTGGTGGGTGTGGTGGGTCAGGGTCTGCATTGCCTGAAAGTCCTTCACAAGCTCTACTGTGACCATGTTTTTGGCATGTGGGCCTGTTGAGCCGATGCTGCACCTATTTTGGGCCAAGGTCTGATGATATTGCCAGCGAGGAGAAGATCCGAAGTGGCTCCTGCGAGAGTGTCGTGCTATGTCGTGCTGGTGGCTGTCGCTGTTGAATAAAGCCCTTAGAGGGAGCCTCACCCTCAATATTTTTGTAAATAATATATATATATACTATATGTAATATCTGTTGGTTGGCTTCCTTGATGATGGATTTGTTATATACAGCTGTTGAACATCTCAATTATTTTATTATCATTATCATTCACTGTAATTAGTCATGTTGCATATGACGTGGTACGCCCACTAGTAAACCGTGCCCCATGCACCCCTTTCTTTTTTTCCCCATTTTGCCAGAACTTTACCTTTTCGGGAGGCACTATAGGGTTTACCACATTACCAGTTTCAGATTGTTGGAAGATTCCCTTACTTTTTGTTTGACTATTATGCTGTACCCCAAATCCCTTGCGCTATGGCATCGTATTCTTCATGATTTGACCATGTTGACATGAGACAAACCCAACCCTTCCCTTTTTGTTTATTGTTGTCGTTGTCGTTGTTGCTGTTGTTGTTGTTGTTGTCGTTGCAGTCGTCCTTGTCCTTGTCCTCGTCGTCCTGATTCGACTTGACATCGCAAAAACAGGAAAAAAACAAACATGTCGCACCGCGAAAAAAAACCTGGATTTCATGGTGAAAGTCCGGCCATTTTTTGCAAAATATCCCACAATGAGACCCTTAATGGGAATAAAACATGACTGGAAATCCCCCAGATCAATTAGATGATTTACATCTACCATCTACCGTATATTGATTTGCGTGCAGCTTTAGTTGGTGACTGCCAGCTAGCCGAGATGACCAAAAAGATCACTTTAAAGTAAATTAATTTTGAGGTGTTGTTTAAATCAACTTCTTGGTTGTTTAAAGCCTCGTTTTTGCTGGTGAAATTTCTTCACTCCACGAAAGTGATTTTGCGGATTTTGCGTGGCTTCACCGCTGCCAGGTGACGTGGCCCGTCGTGCGGCCACCGCTCTGCAGCATGCAGAGTCGCAAGCGGCTGTATCTGGGCAATCTTGGGCACCTGGTTGCTTGCTTGCTTGGTTGGCTACTGTTCATGGGGATGAAGAGTGAGTTTTTGTTGCCAAGATTTGACCAACCTGAATGGGATACATAGCATCAACGAATAAGGATTTCAGCACCAACTAATTATGACATGATATGGGATGTCTATGGGATTATTCTCGGAAAATATTGGATACAGTTGCAGTAAGTTATTTTTTTAAAGAAATCAAGTTTCTTTTAATGGGATATAGAGCCAACACATATGATCTGGGTGTGTTTGAAATTGTCTGAAAATAGGTCTTGGTTGATTTTCCAGAAAAGATCAAGGGGAATTCATCCCCACATTTTCTTAGGGGTCGACATACCAACATATACTATTTATGTCCGGAATCCACTTCATGATGGTAGTATACCACATATGTCATGTTTCCGGTCACAAACATGGATGATGAAAACACTAAACATGGGGAAATGTCATCAAACCACCTGGTTTAGTAGGGACTATGTTTCATAACGCCTTTCATTGAGATCCCTATGAGCAAACAATACCATAGAACCTTGATATTTACTGTATATTATATATGATTATATATATATATATATGTTATGATGTCATAGCTCAGATCTATTATAATATATATATACACATAATATGTATATACTATATTATAATAGATATATATATATATACTTATACACACCAGGTTCTTCGAAGTGCAAAATCGCTTGAACTTGTGGTGATAGTGGTTGGTGGTCCCCAAATTTGCTGTGGTCAATTGAAAGAATCCAGGGACATGTTCAGATGAACCAAACCACCTCTGACCGACTCTGAGCCTGATGGATGTGACCCCCATTGGGGTATACTTAAGGGCACGATACTTATATGCGTCTTTGAAATGGTAATCTGCACTTCTTTTGATGCCTATACCTACACTTTCTGTGCTTACTTTATCTTGTTCAACACTGCAGCTGGCTAAATTCAGGCAATTTGTCCTCAACCGATCAAACAATAAAACCACAGAAACAAACACAAAACGTAGTAAAACAGTATACAAGAGCATACAGGAGGAAGGGCGTCAGACCCCAGAATTAGGTTGTGGTATGGATACGTGACCGCCATCACATTTAATCTGGAGCAAGTACAGAAACATGTAATTACGTGTAGTATGTGTATATTTGCCGCCCCATCCCCATATCTAGCCGCATGGGGGTCAGACCTGTTTCTATGATACATGAACTGCATGGTTGGTGGTTGGACCCCTTCCCCAAAAAGTAGCCAAGTCAAATCGATACCTATCCATCCGTGACCTTTAAAGTGGCTATTGCTAAAAATGAGTGGCCCACTGGAAAAAGGCGGGTGCATGTTCCCATGTGTTCCCCAACTTTGATAGCATTGGCCCCCCTTTCTTGTGCGAACCAGCTGGACAATAAGATGTTTTGTTCAACAACAAAGCAAGTGGCAAGGGTGACGTCACCCTTCCATGTCTGGTATGTCCAACACTCGGCAACACTCCTAAGGCATACGGAGCCTCCACCGCTGTGGTCCTATGCCAGCAAGGTGCCGTGCCGTGCAGATTCATGGGAGCCCCCAACAAATGATATCGCAATGTGTTCTTGCTTGGAGAAATAATTGGAAAAGCATCATTTTGCATCGCTAATTTTCCAGGGGGGTATATTTTTGCTGGACCTTGAGTACAAAGTTTTAAAGATAGGACCAGTCAGACCAGTGTATTACTGCCACAACGGGTGTATGGGTGAACAGATTTCTAGAAACTTGACATCCATGACTGACTGAACCTCAGGAAACTTCCTGGGAGTGGCAAATCTTGGTGACTCAGGTTGTCGCCTCAGGGGTTTCACCCATCTTACCCCACGATGTCCGGTGGAGACGATGGAGACAGGGGCATACCCCACGAGTCGTCCGGGTTCATTTTTTCGCAATTTAAGTGAAAAACACATAACGGGTGGCTCAAAAGCAGCAACCTTGGTTAATAGGTATTTTCAATGGTATATAACTTATAAAAATATATACAGCAATTTATAAGTTATAAGCCACACGTTTGAAAAGGCTCCAACACACGGTCCAAATGGAGGAAGACAACAGTAATGAGGTGATCCCATACGACATGGATTTGTTTGAACATAGTCCGCTCCCCTAATTTCATGGCCGATCTTGAAAAAAAAACGAGACACTTAGATACGATTAGCATGTCATATAGATACTAAATGATACTAATACATGAAGCATTTAGCTATATATGTTTCACTTCCAGTCACTCCGGGTCGGGCCGCGGGTCGGGTCGCGTTGCACGCAAGGATTCATGGTTCTGCGCAAGGGCCCAACAGGGATGTCCGCAGGGGTTCCCAGTGGTCGTGGCCAGGTGACCAGGGAGTGACATGTCGCACGTCAAAACACAGGTGCCAGTTTAGCGCAAAAGTTATAACCCAACATGAAGAAAAATCACAATATATATATATATATATAATATTGCGCATGTGATGAACATGATCGCGCAACGTGATCAAGGGTTGAAACTCACAAGCGATCCATACTCCGGAACCATGCCAAAACGAAGGCGATCCAGACCGATCCATGGGTATGGATCACCGAACGATCCATACCCGTTTTTTTGAGCCAGTGCCGATACTTAATTTCTTTGGGACGATTGGAGTTTCTAGTGGCACACATATTTTTGGAGTGGCAGCTTCTTGACCTTGACGCCTGAGATCATCATCAAGTCAGATGAACAACAACACAGCTGGCAGGGGAACCCAATTTCTTTTTTCGCCCTGGTTTATGTGTCCATGCCCTTCGCACAGGCCAGAGGCAAGAAGAAAATGGCTTTGTGAGGCTATTCTCAAGATTTCTCAAGTACATCAACCGCCAAAACGCCAAGAGGATGTGGATGAATGTGGTAAGATTTCTGAAATAGATCATGATTGAAGATGTTGAAGTGTTACTATATTTCTCAAGCGGTCCAACCTCTGATGACCCAGGAATTGCCCTTACCAGCTGACACGCTTGCCCAAGGCGCGGGCGAATCCATCATTCCAAACATTATTTTCCATGAAGTAGTTGCCAAGTACATACTGAAAGTGGAGATGTTCTAGTAAGTACTATGCACTTTCAGTAATGATGTTCATGAACGATGTTCTAGCCAGTACTATGCACTATACATCTGGGTAAATTACAACGACCTCACTGCGACCTCACTGGAAATATGATTAATAAGGGAAATGATCCCCAATTCAGGTTGGTGAATTATTATAATTTACCCAGATACATATATATATATATATATATATTGTATAGATAATATAGATTTCAGCAATGATGTTCCCTGTCGCATGGAGTATGGACCCGGCCCCCGTCGTGACACCTCCCAGACTCTGCTGAATCGATTCCCCAAGCTGCAGCTGGACAAAGCACGCGATTGCCTGGAACTCTGCCAACCTAAAAAATGTAAAAATGTGGTGCCTAAGTTAGCTAGGTTGGCATACTGACTTGGGATATTGATATATATATATATGGTATGATATGGTATGGTCATTGATTAATGTTGTTTATTTAATGAATATATATATATATATACACTAGTTGAATTCATTTCCGGATATTAAATGATGCATATAGTGGATATTGCCTAGTTCTTAAGCCAAGTTGGTTTATAAGTACGCTACATTTATAGACAATGGTCATGATATATCCACAGTTAGCTAACAAACATAGCCGCCACGTTGCTCCCACCACATTGTAGATGGTGGTGTTGTTCTACCAATCCAAAATGGTGATATCAACAAGATTCCAGACATCTCAGGGGAAACCAGACCGGATCGGGATACAAACGTATCTCGCTAGCATTAGTAGAACGGAAAACAATATGCTTCAAGTAGCAACCCCAGATCAAATTCAATCAACCCTCAAATGCAATTCCTTTCAGACCAGATTCTCAGCATCGCACCGAGGCGAGTGCTACAGTGTTCCAATCCGTGAGGCGAGTTGATTTCGGCTGGAATGCGAGGGGCATAGCACAGGATGATGGCGGTTTCATGTGGATTTTAATGTGGGCGTAAAATGGCTCAAATATGGGGATTTTCCTGCAAAGATTGGGCCCATAATATGAGGTATCCAAAATCATCAGGGGATGGACATTTACCAAACCCCAACCATTTGCGACATTTACAAATACTATTCTAACCTCTTGTCTCAGCTTGAGATCTTTGAACAGGATTTCTTGATTTCTTCAATAGTTGGATGTTGGTTCAAAGGGATTTGTAGTCACCCTTTTGCGACTGCTGCAATCGGCCCAAATGTGCGTAGAACTGAGGCCCACTAATCTCACCCCAAATGTGGTTCATCCATGTTTTCTCTGCAGGGAGACCTGGTGATCATGTTCTCCGATGGATTGCGTGACAACCTCCATGATCGTGAGGCCCATTGCCAGGTTCTGTGGGTCTGGATGTTTCCACATCCAAAAAGAGGCTGCGCCAAAAATATGGCAATCTCCCAGGAACATTATGAGAATCCCTTGGAATTTGCTAGGGTCCCCAAAACTATCAGAGAAAGCCATGTTCGATCCTGTTGTGAATCGGCAGTTCAATGGTGCTGCTCCAAGTATTTCTGATGGTAGCGGGGTGGTGGAAATGGTCGTGCCGCGATTTACCACTGGGATAGAGTCACATAAAACCATAGATCAGTGTGAAAAAATATGACACTTTGAATTAGCCCTAAGATTATATCAAATGGCTCGCTCTAGTTGGACCTGCTGTTGTTCACGCCAGAGCTGTACACTGGACAAGATACCCCAGACATCAGATACCCCAAGCCAAAAATCCGTGTCTTATCGTGTCTTTATCATGTTCACATCAAGAAAGCAATGTTCATCCATTTTGGGTCTCCCTCATTCACAATCCGACTGGATGTTTTGTCATGTTTTGTCTCAAATTGACCCGCTGAATTATTCACATTTCTGTTTGCGCCATGGAACAGTGACCCAGTGACCCATCTATTCTCCCCAGAGACAGCGCAGGTTGTGAGTTTGGTCAATCGCACTTTGTCCCCAATGTGTGCTGCTGGAGACCCAGACAGCGGCAGCAATGACACCAGCCACCGGAGGTGCTCGAAACAGGAGGCTCGAAACCAGTGTTCTGATATACGTCATAGATGTAATTAATGTACACCATATTAATACACCGACATAGAGTTTTTATATGTTTTTTTTTTAATGTGTTTTTGTACCATATACATATAGTATATCACACATTACAGGGTCGCTGTATCATATATATATAATATTGATAATACTACTAATAATCATAATAACAATAATAGCTATAGTAATATAATAATGATTAATAATGATAATGGTAATGATAATAATTAATGAGAATAATAAGAATGATAATAATAACTAATAATATTTTTTGTTTATTACATGTCTATATATATATATACGTAGATCTTTGTGTATATGTGTAGAACATTGTGCATACATATGACATAGGTATATATTATATATTATATATATATACATCGGGCATAGTAGATACTTTTGCAGGCCACATCGGATAGAATTTCAAATATGTAGTTTTACAGATAAGAACTCGCTGGGTGTTTGGACTGAGGACTTGGTGGGTCTGCTGGATCGCTGCACGTGGGATGCCTAGATGGCAATGGGCGGCGATTTTCCAGGGTTGGTATCCCTAATTTATTGGGATGTACTGCCGCAGCTGCCTGTCATTTTACTGGGATATGATGGGGATACCATATACTGTATCATGGTATAAATATATGTGTGTATATCATGTATATATAATTTGGGATGCATACACCAAATTCAGTGTGTGATCATGTACGGTAGCCCGGATTTTGGCAGTATGGGCAGTGACCAAAACCTTTGTTGATTGGTTGTTGTAGGAGTTTATATATATATGTATATACTACCTGGTTGATTGGGAAGTATTTGTTTGACCAGCGGACTGGGAGTCCTTACTAACACACCCTATGTACTAGTAGTCACAGAGATGACAGGGTTTTGAACAAGTGAACGCTGATCATATACTTTATATCCATATATATATATACAATAATATATATATACATAATTATGTATATATATATACACATAATTATATATATTGGGTTTGTTTCAAAATGGCGTGCCCCAATCCATCGCCATTGCGTAATCAAGAAATTAAGTCTGAAAACATCAGATGGAATGAGGTACCCCTGCTTTGGGCTATTTATTTTGGAAAAAAACATATCAAGCAAGAATGGTTTTGCCAATCTTGGCTTGGCATCAAAACACTTCAAGCCTCAAGCCAAATTTGATTGCTATATTTAAATTCCAAAATGCACAGTCATAGTTCCTGCTTATTCAACCCGCATGTACGGATCATGAATCGTTGGCTCTCACCCCATAGATCCCCATCCAGGCCACCAGAGACAATTGCCAAGACCTTGGCGCTGGCGGCGCAGGAGCGTTCGGTGGACACCACCGCAAGAGTGCGGTGACTCAGGGCCTAGGAGGGCCTGGGGTGGCCCCAGTCATCCAGTCCGAAGCGGATTTCCTTGGAAAAAGTGGAACCAGAGCTGACTTGTACCATCTTGTACCCCTGTTGTATCAGTGTTGCCACTTTCTGTGTCGGTTCTGGAGATAAGGATAAAGCAAGACCTGTCAATCTGCAGTTCCCAGGATTTAAAAACGTTAGGCTGCATTTGATGTTCATTACCCGGCTTATTCAACTCTATTGCCCATTGCCACAGTGTACGACTAGATTTACAACTGTTTTTTTGTTTTTAATATATTCAACTTTATAATATATATAATATTATATTATATAAAATATAATATATATATATATATATTAAATATTTGTATATATATATATGTATTAATTATGTGTTGCTGTATCCTTGGACAGGTTCCATTCGTGGAGTACAGCAAGCGCCACGGATTCGAGTGTATTGGTGGGCTGGGGGCCTCAAAGGACTAGTGGAGACACTGTTGCAACGACACTGGTGGATGTGTTTGAAAACATGGTACACACCGACATTGCATTTTCACAGGGAACATCATGATATATAAACCATTCAATGTTTGGGGTCATTTTCAGACAAACCCGTATGTGATAAAACAAAGCAACAACTTGGGAAGCAACTACCCGGGAAGTTGACTACCAACTAACGTTTTTATCACATATATATATACATACATATATACACTTTATATATATATATGCCTAACCAGCTGGATGTCTTTTTGTTCATGGGCCCGTGACTGGCCATGATTTGAACAGTTAGCCAGTTAGACAAGCAAAAAACCATTCGTGTCGAAGGCGGCCTCTAAAAATGTTCACTTTTTTTTGACACCTGAGCAGCTCTGAATCGGGAACATACGCACACACACAAGAAGGAACCCCGAATGAGAAGTTGGTTTATATGCGCTCATATTGTCTAACTTTGGCATTCATGGTGGATATATCATAGGATGGATTCACATGAAGCACTCTAAGTCAGTCTGGGAAGTGCCTGGGGGACCCTTTGGCTATGCACTTCCCCTGTGCTGCCCGGCAACTTAGGAAGCAAGATGACATCACGGTGGTTGCAGCATGGGTAACTTGGTGACGTCAGCATTTGTAGTTGTCTCATGTTGTTTCATTCTCTGTGGTTTTGGACTTGCCGCGTTACTGCTGTCAGAGTGATCTATCATGGCGGATGAAACCAACTGCTCCACTATGGCTGATCTAAGGTGGTGGCAGATGAGTGACGGTCTTAGATGGTGAATTTGCGGTCTGAGGTGACAGGGGTTAGTCCATTTCACTGGGGGAATTACAGCACCTAGACCATGCATGACAGGCCTGCAATTGTGTCAGATGGAAAGTGATGATGAATGGGGTATCATATTATTCGGCAAACCCACATGTGTCACATGTGAGGTCATCCAATGCAATCTCCCTTTTGAGGAATCATCCATTGCAATGAGATTTCACCGGCTCTCTTGGCACTCTCAGGTCCCAACCAAGTGCCAGCCTCAGTGGCGATGGGACTGGGACCATGGAACCATGGGCCCAGACCTTGAATTCCGTGGGACCGAGAGGTCAGGCACGGATAAAATGTGTCAACCCCGGAGACAACCGCAGACAACCATACGAAATAATACGAAATATACAAAGTGGGTACCCTCTGGTAAACTAACATAACTATGGAAAATATGGGTAAATCCACTATTTCTATGGCCATTTTCAGTAGCAAACTGCTAGTCATTACCAGGCCGGGCCAATGATATGATGCCAACCATTGATCTAGTGGGTACCATGGGCCCAAGGGTATACCAAAGCGACCAGCTGTGAGTGGTGAGTCCATGGTGAAATGCCAACCACTGACGCCACAATCCTATTTGTCCCATCTGGACTGCTATGGACGTTATGGTGCTCACCTATGATAGCCACATGAGATATATATATATATATAATGAATTGACTATATTATATTAACTATCATTTGTGGCACCTGATCCTCAAGAGACTCATCGCTAACTGGCCTTGACTTCGATTGTCATTGTGATTTCCCTTCGCCCAGCCCAAGAACATTCCCCGCATGTCAACAAAAAGCAAGATACAATCCACCCACTAAAACCTCACTCATCATCATCATCATCAACATAATCAACATAATCAACGTCGACATCACCAACAGCATCCAAAATTCCATCCGTAAAACGACACAATAAACTATAGCGCCAACAACATGTCCCAAGCAAAAACATCATCGACTTCATCTCCATCAGATCCGGATGATCTTGACCTGGACGAGATCGTTGAAAATATGCTGCTGGCAGAGAAAGCTGAGGCCTCCCGATACGTCTGGGGTGAAGAAGTGGGGGCGGCCCCATGTTTCAGGGTTCACCATGGTTCACTGGTTCACCCATTTTTGGTTGTTTCAAGTCATGAGGCCCCATGTGAGAGCCTCAAACTTTAGGTCTTATTGGCTTGGTCTTGGAAATTTCTGGACATGGCGCTCTCCATCGACATGGATTTTCTTACCAATATTTGCAAATGATACTCATAATTTGTGCCATGGAAAAATATGTTGGATCAAACATGATCAAACATCATACATCATCATACTGACCATTACTGGCAAGAGGGAATTCAGACGGCCGCAAGGATCCCTAATTTCATGCTGGGATAACCACAGCCCATGTAACGTGACCATGGCCCACTGGTTGATCACAACATGTGGATGGAAGAGGTGTCACGCAAGTTCCCCGAACAAATGGCTGAAACTACAAACGAAAAATAGGGTTGGTTTGCTGGTGTTCCAATCGGAAATGGGTGTAAGTTGTCAGATGTTGTCAGGGATATTTCAACCAAAGCAAGGCCCAAGCAACATGAGCATGTGTGATTATACAGGAATTATCCACACAAATAATGGGGCACCTGACTACATTGACAGTACTCTCGACATTTCATCTGCTTGTGGTGGTAGGTAAGGCTCACAGAGTGTTGCCGGGCATGATCACCGCTCTATACAGGTTGAATCCTGTTCTCTGAGTCTCAGGGCATCATTTTCCAGACACCGCCAGATACCCTTCATTTTAGTGCGATTTCTTTGATCGAAAGCATTGACCCTGGATCCCTGCTATACGAGGAAAAACCAAGAATTCTTGAGTTTTGAGCCAGCTGCGACCAGGAGGAGAGGCTCCGTCTCGAAGAGGAGGAGAAACTCCGCAAGGAAGAGGAGACACATTTACAGAAGGAGGGAGGTTTTGCAGGGTCCCAAAGAATCAAGAAACAAGACCAGAACATCATTATTTGGGGTCGATGCTTTGCGTTTCAGCGATGTTGATTGTGTGAATCCGCAATCAATTCAAGCTGTCGACTTGAAGTCGCCCGTGACAAGGAGGAGAGTCTCCGTCTCGAGGAGGAGAAACTCCGCAAGGAAGAGGAGACACATTTACAGAAGGAGGGAGGTCTTGCAGGGTCTCAAAGAATCAAGAAACAAGACCAGAAAATCATTATATATTTGGGGTCCATGCTTTGCGTTTCAGCGATATTGATTGTTTCACTGAATCCGCAATCATTTCAAGCTGTCGACTTGAAGTCGCCCGTGACAAGGAGGAGAGACTCCGTATCGAAGAGGAGGAGACACTCCGCAAGGAAGAGGAGACACTTTCGCAGAAGGAGGGAGGTCTCGCAGGGCCAGAAAATCTTTGTTTTGTGACCATGCTTTGCCTATGAGAACTTGTTGATCAACCCAGGGAAAAAAATCCGGGGCCCCACGTCCAACAGTTGCGAGGTGGGGGGGCCTGACGCCATATTCTCTTAGTGCCTGTCCAGTTTGTGTTGCTTGTATTTTCCTATCTTACCTTATGCCCCATCATTCGATTTGCATGTTGGTCTTAGGCCCCTGCATTTTTTTTTCGGGCCGCACCCCCCCTGGCATCACACGGGGATTTTTATGTTTGATCCTCACGGTAGCAGGAACTGCAGGAAGGGTTCAGCCATCAGTTTCAAGCTTTGTGGATTGGAACCTATCCGTGATCAGGAGGAGATGCCACTGATGGATCTTCAAGAGGAGGTAGGGGCATTCCGCGGTCTGTTTGAATGATATTGAGGTACAAGCAAAAAACAAACAGAGGAATATAGAGGACATGTTCAGATCCGACTTCAAAGGATTTGAAAGGAATTCCTACAAAAGTATACAAAAGTATGAACATGTAACAACTCAGTGCTTGAAATAAGGAAGAGGGCCCTGCAAAGTCCTGTACAGTCGATGAATATACTGTATTATATAATATTGTTATATATATATATAACTTAATTATATATACATCATATGTGTGTATACATGTTATTTCATATATATATCATATCATATCATATCATATCATACCATATAATATCATATCATATCGTAGCATATTTGCAAAGGGATGGGAAAGAGATGTTTACTGTCTTCTTCTGTAGTGTCAGGTAATCACAGGACACCAAAACGAGCCGCTTCGGTGAGGATTTCGACGCTGGTGACAAGTCCCCAACCACATCCAATGTGTCCTGCGAGTGCGCAAGACATCGCGTAAGCGATGTGGGTGCTTTGTCAAATTTGTCCTCAATGGATTGGTCAAAGGGAAAATCGAAACCGGAAACCATAGATTTTCCCGTTAAATATCGGGCTTTCCTGTAAATTTTGCCAACAAAACCAATCTATTGATGTCCAGGATCATTTTGATTCTGCAATCCCTTCCCCGGCCCTTCCCCTTGATGTGCTCCCCAATATCCCCCAATCACTGATCCAACAAATGATAGTGATGGATAGTGGGTTTCTGGGTGGGGCAATGACCCCAAAAATGGGAGCCCAATGAAAGGTACGGTTTCGCAGAGGGGGAAGCCAATGAGGAAGATGCTGAGGCACTGGAACCGGCTTATTGTTGTGCTAAAACTACGTATAATAATGTATAATATATATATATATACAGTATATATAATTATATATATATATATTAAACAGTTAACCAACTTTTCACTGCTGACTTGGGTGGTTTGCAGTCCCAGCAGCATCATGAACGGAACAGCCACTGTTGTGCCACCACAGGGTACCCGCGGAACTCGGAACTACCAGCCACCAATTTGCAAAAGCAAAACACATGTATATGTTAACTACGTTACAATATATGGGTTTCTGCAAAGATTGAGTAATCATCCCAATCGTACCGCACATGCACTGGTTAATCATCATATTCGTTGGCTCAACCATAGGTTTTAGCAACAACTAGGGTTCGCGCAAGATTTATTGACTTTACCCGACCTGAATATATACTATTATATACTATCGATTTACCGTATTATCAACAATTTTAGTGTATACCAATTAATAAAATCATTTTGGAGATGTCCCATGTGTTTGAAAACCAATACTTCCAGAAATTTTGGCCCTCTAAAATTTATCATGAACTCACCATCATCCGGTCATCCTGGCCCGTGCTGGCCCCGCGTATATCGCAGGGCATGAACAAATACCGCAATCGAAACAACAAGGCTCCCGGGAAGCCGCTGGTTTCCACAGATGCAGATCTCCCAACAGCGATTTAAGGGTGCCCCCATTTAGGAAACCTCCATATGGAACAAACACAGTGGGGAGGAGCATGGAGGAGCAACAGAAGTGTTGATGTTACATTTTGAAAAAGGATAATTCGAACACAACTATAGCGGATTTCCTGGAAAGAATGAGGGTGTCAAAAAGTGTCAACCGACAACCCAAAAAAACACATGAGGAATACCGAAAATGACATAATGGCACAACTGTGATGCCAAGGAGAACTGGCAAGCAAATTGCATTTCTTGTGTCCGAGTGTGAACCCTTTGGACCCTTTGGACCCGGGCTCCTTAAGCATGTAATAAGAGGGATATGTCCGAAGCTCACGTGCTTGTAGGTCCCGACATCTTGTATCATGCCCATTGCCATAACCCCCAAAAAACAAGTCCATTTTCCAGACTCTTGGTGCGATCATCGATCTTAATCAATCTCAATATATATATATTATATATATTAATATTATATTGATATGTATATATATATACACCATATATGGACAAGCAAAAATCTTCCCCGCATTGGTTCACCGCTGGATATACATTACGGTATCCATCGTTGTTTGTTGAACATTCCCAAGATGAAGCATAGATAGATATGGGGGTTTCCTAAAATATCTACAATGGGGGATCCCGAAAACTATGGGTTCAATACTAAACTAAATATGATCAAATTTGGATGATTTGGGTTTTTTAAGAAACCTCCATATAGTACCGAGATATTATTAGCAACGACAAGTTCATCGAGGT